TTCTAATGGGCTATTTTAATTAATATTTCTCCTGCCTCTCCTCAGTGTGGCTTTTGACACTGCAGGTCACTGCATGGTCCTTGTCTGCTTCCAGTAGTCACACAGCTATTCAGAGTTGCCCCATCATGACTTTCCCTTTCCACTGAACCTTAACCAAGTCTCCAGTGCTGCTACAGAAACTACAATGTACCACCAAGCTTTGGGGCTCAGAATTCCCCACCCAATCTGTCTACCTGCTGTTGTTTAGGAAAGGGTGTAAAAGTGATGAAAGACCAACCAGAATGTCCACATGCAAGTGAAATCCTGCAGAAGATGAAATCATGGTCTGAAGATCTGTTCACAAGCTTGAGCTTGAACCATTATCACTTCAAAGCTGACTATATGCCACTGATCACATATTTCAGACTCCTCAGAAAGAGTTCTTCTGAAACCTCCTGTCCTTGACCAGATGACATATACACGAGTTTTTACATCAGTTTTATGCAGTTAAACATCTTAAAGACTGAAGTGCTTTAAGAGAATCACCTTAAAGAAGAGCTTCTTCTCTTGTAGCACCCCTCTTCAAACATGTTCCTCCTCTCTGCCTTTGTGGTCTGAGTGAGCTCTTCTCACATCTCCATCTGTGCTCCCAGCCCAAGTGTGCTGAAGAGTCTAGGACTCCACAGGACTGACAGTGCATGCAATGAGTGTTCACCCTGCTCAGGAGATACCTGTGTGTGCCTGGAATACATGATGTAAGGCAGGTTTGTTCCATATATACTGGTGCTCCTGTATGTGGGAATGCTAAAAATCTGTCATACAACTGAAATATTGCTTAAAACAGCATCTTAACACAAGTGTGACAAGAAACTAGCAATCCTTGAGCACTCTCACAAATCTTCAGATCAAGCCTCCTTCTCTGGAGACGTTCAAAACCTGCCTAGAGGGGTTCCTGTGTAACCTGCCTCAGGTGACCCTGCTTTGGCAGGGGGGTTGGACCTGAGGATCTCCAGAGGACCCCTCCAACCCCTGCCATTCTGGGAACAGAGAACTCTGGTGACCAAAGACTTTTAAAATTCTCCTCGTGGGAGTTTTAAGAACTTGTTTCTAACACTACAACTGACATACAAACTCTTTTTCCCTGAAGGACAGAACACTGATAATCTTTGCAAGAAAAGTTAACGTTAAAAGGAGGTCTGAAACACAGAGAAGTAGGATGTGATACAAAAGGAGGGGCAAAAAGGTATCATTAGCCAAGCTCATGAGCTCATGTTCTACTTCCAGACCACAGAAACAAAACCAGACCAATTCTATCAGCAGATAAAGCAAGCCCTGGATCTTCTGTCAAAGACCTGCAAGCCTGTTCTCTGCTTCAACAAACAGCTCCAGTTCCAGGTCTGTTCCATGCCCTTCCCAAAACTCCCTTCTCCTCTCCTACCATCTCCTCATGACATGTAGGAGACGCTGGTCCTCAGCATTGTCTCGAGAGCATGCCAGCACTCCTCAGCAGGCAGCTTTCAGGTGGCAAAAACCATGGGAAAACCAAGCAGCAACCTGCTGAGGAAGCAGGATGACCTCAGAACACACTACCCTACAGAGTCCCACCAAAGCTCTTCCTCACCCAGTGTCTTCACCCACAGCAGCTGGGTTGGAACAAGATGATCTTTAAGGTACCTTCCAACCCAAACCATTCCCTGATTCTGTGATTCTTGTCTCTTGCAGCAGCCTCTCATCCCAGGAGAAGTGGCTCAGCTGATGGCACACCTACTCCTCACATCTGGACAAAAAGGCACCAAGGGACAAGAAAGCTGCCTGTCAAAACCCAGCAACATGTATTTTATCCTGTTTTGGATGCTTTAAAGTTCACTTTTGAACAGCAGCCATGCAAGGTAGGAATACAGTCACAGTGGAGAGTCACAAGAAATACTAGACAATTTAATTTAATCTCCTGTGCAGGGCACAGCTCTTGGAGCAAGAGTGGATTGGTTGCAGAGCACACACAGCACTCAGACCCAGCCCAGGCAGCCTGGAGGGCATTTTCTGAGTTACAAAGCCCTGAAAACCAGCTTTTATAAATGAAAATGCTGACACCCTCCTCAGTGCAGTGCCAGCAACATCATGGGTTTAAACTTGCTTTGTCAACCCGACTGCACTTTAAAACACAACATCTGAAAACCTGATGAAAACACCAACTGTTGGTGATGAAGCATTTTAAACCAGTTTTACAGATTGCACTGAACTGGCTTCACTTCAGAAAAACCTGAAGAATTGCTGCAAACTAAAAAAAAAAGAAAGAATAATAGTAATGAGAATATTAAAATGTCAGCAGTATTTCCTATTACTTTTGATTTTCCTTTTTCTTTTGGCAAAGGTAGACTGAGCACCCTCAGGCACCTGGATGTTCAGATGAAACTAGAGTGCTCACCACCTCTCAAAACTTAGGTGGTACTCATCTAATACTTCTCACTCCTTGCTACCAAGTTTTTTGGGGCAGTTTTCTTAACCTTGGAAAGCAGCAGTTTAGTTTCTTATTACACAGAACTATGCAGCAAAGAAATTCAAGACATTTTAAAGGCTCAAAAGAATATCAAAGAAAATGGGAAGATTTATTTAGGATTTATTTAGCTGCTCTTTCATACTATCATACATCAGAGTGGTCCTTGCTAACTCAGTCCCACCTGCCATTGCTTTTAATTTAACATGCTATAACCCTGCTAGTGTGAAGTTGTAGGCGCTGGAGTATTACACCACTCAACAGAGATGACTTTAAAATCCTACAGCAAATGCCAGCTTCCCTTTTTAACAGCTCCATCGACAAGAGCCTGGGTGTCTCCACCACCAATCCCCACGTCAATACAGTGTTACTTTAATGACAGTGACCTTGTGTGGCTCTCTGAGCACCTTCTTCACCTTTTTTGAGACATTTTTCTAAGCCACTGTCCTTGTTTTCATCATTTAACACATCAGTCAAACCACTTCAATAAAACAGCGATCATGTTGAAGAGGGGTCTCGGAGGAGCAGATGACACACCAATTAACAAAGCACACCCAAACCAAATTGGTTTTTCTACACCTGGTTCAGAAGACACTTGTGGAAAGTGAGAGAGGGGAGGAAAAAAAGTTGAGGAGGTTTAAAAAAGGAGAGTAAATGCAAATTGAAGGAGTCTTCTTGATGTTGGTTAATACAATGTGAAATTCATCCTTCAAATCAAATTCATGACTGCTGTTGGCCAGACACATTTACAGAGTGTGTTCTGTATCTCACCCAAAATTGTGAGGGCTCTCCAGCATCAGGAACCATTAAAATAAGCAGTAAAACAAATTAAGTGAACTGCATCCCCTGTGACAGGCTAAACTATGTCATTATTGTAATTCAGAGGCAGCTCCAGTCAGAGGCAGGGCAAGATTTACAAGACCTGAAAGCAATGATTCAGCATTGAGTATTTTCCTTTTGGTTAAAACCAATTTGGCAGGGAATTTACTGTTTGAAAACAGGACAGTAGTCTTGGTTAACTTTCAAGCTTCAAAATGTGACACTTTGCCTAGATTCAGAGGGTCAGCATCAAGATTTATTAACTTCTATCTGATCTTCTGCTGAAAACATCTCTTGGACTTTACCTAAAGATATATTCACAGCCTCTCCTTAATTATCCTACATTATACCAGAAGGGAAGGACAGCTCTATTTTTTGGTTAACCAGATCATGCTTTTGTCAGGCCATGCAGAAAAAGATGCAAGTCATTTGTGGTTTGAATGAACTGTTCTTATAGGAAGAAAGAGCTGCTCCAAGCAGGGGGGAGTTCTCTCCTAGGACTGTCCTTGAGTTGAAGAAGTCTCCTGAGGGCTTAGTGCTCAAGCTCTCAAGGCTACAAGGGTTTCTGACTTGTAGCTCCCCTGTCTGTAGGCAGCCCACACCTGCATGAAAAAGGCTACATGAACATCCCCTTCTGTCACCACCAGACCAGAGCTACCTGTCCCTTCTCCCACACCAGATCACACCTGACCAAGATGTTATTGTAACACAGGGATTTCTACTCAGCTTACACACTCTGAGTGATCCTTCCACAAACACTCTTTGTAAAGTCATTGAAATTTGTTTCTTAAACCATTTGATGAAGCCTAAGCTGAAAAAAATAACCTTTTTCCTGAATCAGAACTGACCTTGTCCTGACTAAGCCTGCAGAAAGCATGGCCTCTCCTAACGACCACATTTATGATCACATTTTCTTTGAACAGCTTCATTTTGGTAAGACTTTCTCCTGCTTGAAACCACGTTGGTGAGAAATCTTTCTAAAAGCCCTTGTGAACACTTATCTTCAAACACTTCGTTTCATTGCTCTGGGAGAGACTCACACTGTTGTGCAAAGATTTTGCAAGCCATCAACCATCTCAATGCTTGGATCTGCATAATACTATTTTAACTAATAATAATTGTTCCTCAGCTCCAACCTCAACCTCTCCTGGCACAACTTGAGGCCATTTCCTCTTGTTCTGTCACCTGTTCCTTGGAAGAAGAGCCCGACCCCCACCTGGCTCCAGGCTCCAGTCCCCTTATTTTCCAGGCTCAGCACCCCCAGCTCCCTCAGCTGCTCCTCCCCACATTTGGGCTCTAGACCGTTCCCCAGCAGCTTCATTGCCCTTCTCTGGCCACACTCCAGCCCCTCAAGGTCCTTCTGGGACTGAAGGGCCCAAAACTGAACCCAGAATTCTAGGAGTACCTCGATCCTAGAGGTGCTGAAAGGATGCAGAAGCATCCAGGTACCAGGCCCTACTTCTTACCCTCAGATGGAGTCTCATTAGAGGGTTTAGGATTCTTAGGTGGTTTCTACAGAGGCTCTTTGTATCTAACTGAATTCAATACAGTAAGAACAAACCCATTCTAAATACAGCCAGGAAATTTAGCAATAATTAAAAGCATGCACATATAAAAGGGTATACAAAGGCTACATTAAAATATTCTGACATTAGATTTTGTTTGGTTCTCACAATGTGCACATGAAAAGGATAAGATATTTGCATACCTCCATGAAGGAAATCCCTAAACTCCAAACATCTGAATGGATTCCATACTGCTCTCCTGAAATCCTCTCAGGCTGCAAAGACATGGAAAGAAACATCTTGAGCCCAGCAAACAGCAAAACCACAAATATTTCTTGCTCAAGAGGTAGCCCAGGGCAAACAAACCAACAGAGAAAATGGAAAGAAGCTGAAAGCTCACCAGCAAACCTGGCAGAGAGCAAATCCACTCTTCAGTCATGTCTTTATTTATGCCTCTTCTCCAAGAGCACAGGACTTGGTTCTGCTCAGACCTGTAGCCATGCTTCACTACACAACCTGGAAAGTTGGCTTGGGCATTGGTGTTTGGGCTGTTTTATCCAACCACAAAAAAAAAAAAAAGGCCAGTAGCTTGCACACGTGAGGCAAAGTGCAAGGTCAAGCAGCACAAGTCCACTGGCATACAGACTTCTCACTAAGGCTCAGCAGTGAGGTACCCCAGGAAAAGAGACTCCTGGTGTTGAGTCAAGGGCTTGGGGAGTAACTGTGGTTGAAAAAGCAAAGTTATTGAAGCCAAAAAACTCACTGAAGTCACATGCCAGCAGTTTTATTTTATATACTTTTTAATTTTGTTTTTGACTTATAGAAAAAAAAAAAAGGACTTCACTCAAAAATATTAATAACAAGTTTAATGCCTCATGAAATAGAATGCTGTAAAACATAACTGCTAGTTTTTACTTGAAAGCTACAATTTAAGCATTTCCAAGGTCAAGTACAGCATGAAATGTAACAATAAAAGGCTCCATGAGACTTCTCTCCCCACTGTGCTGTTAATGCACCTGTCTAGCCCAGCCACCTACAAAACACTGGCTGTATTTTTAGTCTTTAATAATCCAGAGACCTTTTTTAGAAAACAAACTCCCAAATTAGTGCCAGTCCAATGTGTTTTCGGGTGTTTACTCTGCACGGCTAATCCCAGGTCAAGAGCTTTTATCACAGCATGAATGTTAAGTAAAAAACCACAGTGCTGCCCATGTTTAAGGGTAGCCTTCCACAACTGCTAACATTAAAAAAAAAACCACCTCAGAATGTAACTGCAACAAAACCTTTTTGACTGAGCCTCATTTATTCTGCACTGAACAGTGATAGAAAATCTTATTTATTGTATTTTTACTATTCATTAAGGCAAGCAGAGTTAGCCCAGGTCAGTATATCTTAGACATGATTGCAACAGCATCATACTGGGATGTGATTTCTAAGCATCCTTTTATACTGACAAAAACCCTCATAAAGATGCAGACAGGTAGCCAAAAATGTACTCTGATATTTATAATATCATATGATATAGCATAACATGGTAGAAGATATCCTGGCCCAACATGGTTTGTGAGAAGCAATATTAAATTGTTTGTTCTTCTGTTATAACAAGTCCTAGATATATATTTATTCATATTATATAAAATTTATACTGATATAAAACATTTATATATGATATAAAACAGAATACATCCTTATGCTAGATTTTATATATCTCTATATTATATACAATATACAATGTATATTCATATATTATATAAAATATATACACTCTCTATAAAACAAGCTCAAGTTTTAAACAACTTCTATTTAGAAATGATTTCTATTTAGAAATTTTCACAGAAAATCATAGCAAGTGAATCATTTACACATTTAAACAAATCCCATGAATTTAAGAGCATGGAAAAGGAGATGAAAAGAAGAATAACACATGCATAAAGTATGCCACACAGAGACCATCCTAAGGATAGAGAGCTCAAAAATATTTTCTCTTAAAAATTTCTACAACTGTTTGGGTTTTTTTCAACCAAAATTTCTTTCTGTATGAAGTGGTGATAAAATGATTTTACAGAAAATGTATTTGTTGCTGGAAATTTTAACTTCTCCAACAAAAAGCTTTTTTGTTTCTTTATTTTAAACAGAAATCTCTGTTTTTTTAATGGTTTCAAGTTCTCTCACAGTCTGCCAAGCAGGCAGACAAACCAAAGCTTGGGATCTTCATTATTTTTTTTATGGCTAGACTATAAATTTGATGACAAATCACTCATTCAGCAGGCAAAACAATTTTAACCTAAGAAATCAGATCATGTACATTTTAGCTTAAACTTCTCTTTTCCAATTAATAGATGAATGCATCACAGCCATCTATAAAAAATAGGCAAAAAAAACCCCATTTATTTAAAGTACACCTGGGAATGAGAATAGTAGTCTTGATTTGTACACTAAAAGCAAGCACAATTTAATTCTCAGACCTGCTTAAGAGGACTCCAAGAGCTGAGTTGGAAAAGTTGATTAATTTGAAGGTGTTTATTTGTCTGAATCACTCTATTCCAGTTCTTTTAGAAAATGGAGGCAGAGAAATCAGCAGATTTACTAGTGAAAGTGGGAATACATAAGACTAATTTTTTTTCCCTCTTGTTTCTTTAAAAAAAAACAACAACAAAACAAAATAAACAACCCACAGCATTTTTTTCTGCATATATTCTGATGACACAGGATAGCCCAAGTCTTTCTAGGATGGTGACATGAGAAGCCACATAATGAGTACACCTTGACGAGAAAAGCACTTAGCAAATAAATGGACACCCTGGTCTGCTTTCTTCTTACAAGAAAGTAAGAAAAAATACCTGAAAGCGATTAAAGGTCATGGATTTCTCTCTCCTCTTTTCTGAGGTTTGAAAAATACAAGTATCAACCACTTTGTACTGTTTACACATTTTTTTTTCTTTAAAAAACAAGCTGAACACTTTTTTTCCTCATTAATATTAACAGCCAAGTAGTTTGCTACAAGAATTTTAATGGCCAAAAAGAAAAGACAACCTTTAATGTGCCACTCTAAACTGAAGCACTTGAGTTTTTATATTAAATGGAGAACCAAATTAATCAGATTATCTAAAGGAAAATACATGCTAACTTTTGTAGCTTACTTTCAGACTGGCTTCTGTCACCTTAGCAGTGACATGAGCCTCACATACCAGTTATCAGGTCAACCCCAACCTTCCTTCCATCCTAGTTAACAGCAGCAGCATTCCCCCAAATCTTATTTTGATCTAAAAATGATGGGCATTTATGCTGTAATGTAGAAGGTGGTCACAATGCTTGTTATGTTATCATCATAACAAGCATTGTGACCAAAACAGATATTGAAAAGTGAAAAGGTACTGATGAATTGGTATGTATGGTATAAACATTTTCCAATAGGCAATTAAGTGCCCTAAAATTCTCGGTCCAAATATTTTAGCTTCAAATTCTCATGGCAGCATCCCATGGGAAGCAACCAAGCAGGTGCTGAGGTATCCAGAAGCCCATGAGATGTTTGCACAGGTTTAAATGCTTTGCTAAACTGCAGGCTTGGAGCAGCAGCTCCCAAACTGTGGACAGTGCTGGACTGTCAGTGGGCTGCAAAGAGCCAGAGGCCATCAGTGGAAAACTGTTCCTGAAAGTTGAACTGGCTCTTTTCTTTGTTCCCAGTTATCACAATGCAGTAAAGGGAACTAAAATTACATAACAGAACCACTTTGCCAGTCTTGCTCTTCCCTGTCAGCAAGAAGTGTGGTTGTCACAGAGCAGGTAGGTGACAACAGACAATGTTCACAGAATGGGTTGGGTGGGAAGGGACCTCTAAAGATCATGCAAGTCCAACTCTCCTGCAGGGAGCAGGGACATCTGCAGCTAGAGCAGGGTGCTCAGAGCCCCGGCCAACCTCACCTGGGATGGTTCCAGGGATGGGGCAGCGACCACCTCTCTGGGCAGCCTGGGCCAGGGGCTTACCACCCTCAGGGTCCAAAATTTCTTCCTTTAGTCTAAAACTCCCTCTTTTAGTTGAAACAGAGAGGAAGTGGCTCTGTGAGACGGTGAAAGAGCTGTCTCCTGGCACACCCAAGGAAGACATTGCTTGTAATGGGGAGAGATGAAATTTGAGCAATGACATAGAACACACCCCACATTACACAGAACAAGACTGTGAACAAATACTTCTATTTAAATGTTATTCCTGCATAAATCCACTTACCGCCATATAAGCATTTGTTCCAACATACGTCTTGGCTATAGAATTCACCAGCTATCAGACAAAACAGTCTGTTAGAACAATATAAAGATAATGTGGAAATAAAATGGGCAATTATTCCTCATTTAACCTACGCTCATCATTCCTATAAATCAACTAAGAATTATGTAAAAGGGAACAAATTTATCTGCAAAGGCATTAAAAATGATTAAATCTCTCTTTTGTTGGGAATGAGAGCTCCAATTTAAACAAGCACTGCATTACAGTTTATGGCAGATAACCTTAAACAATTCTGTTAAACAGGATGCTTATGGCTTTAGTACCCCAAACTAGTCTGATATAAAAAAAAGTCAATTGGAAGTCGGATTGAACGTGCTCATTTTTCAGTCAGCTGGCTCAAGATGTGAATAAAGCCACATTCATCACTTGAATGCAACGAGCACTAAATACACTGGAGGGACAACAGACTCTGACAACTTATCATCCAAGGCTGACCTTCTCTTTGGTCCTCGTGTTTGGCGGAGAGTAAAGGTGCTGAAATTCAAATCAACATCACAGCAAGCTCATGGGTCACTACCAGCAAAGTTCTCCAGGGAGGCCCAAAATGGAAATTAATTAAAATTTGTGCTGCACATTGTAAAAGCCCACTACTATTGTTACTCCCAATATTAATTTTTATTGTGGGCCAGTTGGGCTCCCCAGACACGTCTCTCGTTCTGCCCTCCCTTTTGTCTGGCCAAAACGCTTTCAGATCAAAGCTGCATATCAATGAAGTTTGCTATTCGTAAGTAGTAATTACAATATCAGCAGTTTTTACTGTCATTAAACAATGAACAATCATATTCAGATGAAGAAAAGTCGCCCAGAGATTAAAGATGAATAGGGCTGTCCCAGCAGAGGGGAGCTTGCTGTGGGGCTGTTTGTCTGGCAGCCAGGTGATTTGGACATCAGAAGGGGAGAGGGTAGATGTGGAAGGGGGGAGTTACCTGTGTGCTAACCCCAAAGTCACACAGCTTCACCTGGCCTCGTGTGTTCACCAACATGTTAGATGGCTTCACATCTGTCGAGGGAAGAAAACTGGATTTCATCTCTGTTATCCTACACGTCGTGTATATACAGAGCTCGTTACAGACACAGGAAATGCTTCAAAGAGGTTTTCAAATGCAACCTCTAGTTTGTAGCAGTTGACAGCACAGATGACAGTATATTTGTCCCTCTCAAATACTGATAACCCCTGTTATTAAACCGCCGAATCATTTAGGTTGGAGAAGAGCCTTAAGATCACAGAGTCCAAATGACACCAGTCGGGAAGGGATGGAAAGCGTGCTGAAGGATGGCACCTAGAATTCAAAGTGATCTTGACAAATTGGGGAATCAGACTGAAAAAATAAGATGAAATTCAACAGGGACAAGTGGAAGCACTACATTTAGGCAGGGATGAATCAACTGAAACATGAAACATGGCCTGGAGTATAGGCTAGAGCAGGCCTGCAAAAGAGGCTCTGCCAATTACAGCATGAAGTGGAAATGACAGAGAGAGAACAAACTCTCTCACTGGACAATTTAGGAACCAGCCAAAAGCAATGGTGCAAATGGTGAAGCCTGTTTTCGTACCAAGGGATAGCTGTGCTGACCTTCTAAGGTTCACCCCAGCCCTGCAACTTTGTACTCTAACAGTGCTATTAACCTTGCTTAACTCCTCTCCAACACCCCCACTTAATTCCATGTAGTGACAAGAGCAGAACTGAATGTTCTATACAAATTACAAATACAAAACACCCCATACAAACACCTGTGTGTAGGAACACAGGCAGAACACAAACATACAACCACATTCAAGCCTCCTTCTGCTACAAGAACATACCCAGGGCAGCTCTGCTCTTGAGTGCACGATTACTCAAAGCTACTGACTTCCACTTCTGTGGCTCTCCTGCATAAAACAGCTTCAATCTCATGGTTTTAGAGCTTTCAGGATCACAGAATGGACTGAGTTGGATGGGATCTTAAAGATCATGTAGTTCCAACCCCTCTGCCATGGGCAGGGACACCTCCCACTAGATGAAGTGGCTCAGAGCCCCATCCAACTTGGACTGGAATGTTTCCAGGGATGGGGCATCCACAGCTCCTCTGGACAACCTGTTCCAGTGTCTCACCACCTTCATAGTGAAGAGCTTCTTCCTTACATCTCACCTAGATCTCCCCTCTTTCAGTTTAAACCTGCTCATCATGCCCAGTTATCAACTGGAATGAGGGTCTAAACCAAAACGTTGCCATGAAAAGTGCTGTGGACAGCAGGATCCCCTGGTCTCTCCAGGTCTCTCCTTTGCCAACCACCTTTACAGAGGTTAACTGCCAGCAATGCCTTAAAAGGATTATTAATCCTGCTCCAGCAAATAAAACACCAATTTACATCATAAAACCAGATTGTGTCAGTGCAAAGACCTTAACGCCGACCCGCTCCGATGCCAGAGGAAGCTGGAACAATTCTGCTGCACACTGTAAAAGCCACGTGTGAACAAAGTGCTGAACACCCAGCCTGACTGCAGTGCAGGAAACACTGAGCATCTTCTCAGTCCCAGGGATGCCAGTCGGGGAGCATAATGTGCACGTTATGGCCAGGCTTAAACTGGGGAAGATTAGAGCACAGTGGCTTTGCCTAATCACTGCTTTCTTCTGTCAAAATGGATTAAAAGCAATAGCTTCTATCTCTGCCTTCTTTAAAAGTGAACACTAGTTGGGTACAGATGGATGAAACCCAACTAGAAAAGAACCTAATTTTGTTTATCATTAAGTTTGCCTTTGTTTAGCAGATGTTTCCTGGTACCACAGTAGCTTGCTTAATTTGTCTCTGTAATGTAGAAAAGTATAACCTCAATTAACAAGCTGATTAAATGCTTCCCTATATTTGAGCTAAAACTCCAGTTTAAAAAGGGGAAGCATTCAATAGTACATTATACAACTTAAGTGGATCTGTATGTTTTAAGTTGGGTATCAGCAGTTCTGGTAGGTTTTACCATCCAACCAGACACGCCGAGTGCCTCAGCAGGCTCCACCCTGAACCCCAAGAACAAAAGCAAGTTACACAGTAATCCTGTTTAACCTTCTTTCTAAAAATATGGCACCAACAGAGCTGGGCTGTAAGGAGCTGAACAGCAGATGCAGCTACACACAGAAAAAATACCAACATTCTGCACCACGAAGCCAGCAGCTGAGGCTTTTAAAACTCAAGTAGGACAAGAGGCTCTAGCTTTTAATTTTAAAGGATGTTACAAAAATAATTAATAACCAAATGGACAGGAGAATTATTTTGGTGCAGTACAGCTGGAAATAGGTTGATGGGTTCAGGTCTGGGTCAAGGGCATTGTTTTTTAACAAAGCAAAAACCCCTTCACTCCAAGTGAAGGGTCTGGGAAGGTAGAAGGAAGCTCTAATCATGAAACACTACAACCTCACAGAAAGTGATGATGAAGCAGCATCCACGTGGCCACAGTTTCCTTTTGTATGGACTTAACCATGTCATGAGTTAAGTCCTTGCAGCAGAATTTAACTAGCACCACAAATGGGAATTCAAGCAAATATTCACTATGAGTTCCAACAGTCGTGTTGGTTTCCCCAAGAAAAAAAGAAGTGACGACCCCAGACAAAAGTGTCACTTCAAAAAACATATCACATTGAAAGTGGGGAGAAAAAACACCCAATCAGTAAATTAGCCTTTTTCTTTCCTAAACCACTTCAGTTAATGGGTTAAACATTATTTTTTTTTGTGCATAAATAATGTTCTGCACCATCTGCTTGTGATTAATATTACTGTTTAGAAGTGAAAGAATTTAAACAAGAGCCAAAAGGGGTCATTATGCTCCCATTACCAGTGCTTGCTTAATACAAATGATTTCTATGAAGCATCATTATAGAGGATGAACAAGTTCTCTTTATGATAGATCTGCCTAAGTCATTTCACCTCTCTGCAAATAAATGGGACCTCCAAGCTCTTACTTACCAGTAAACACAACTGTCAGAGGTTCAGCTTTTTGAACACCAAACGTTTCAGTCATCTTGTTTTATTGAAAAGGAAACACATTAATGACTGGGGGGGAACCCAACAGATTTTTTAAAAGCTGTCTCTTGACTTTTTGTCTTTCAGAACCATAAAACTGCAACAGAACAGGTTCAAGGGAGACAAGAGATACAAAAGCACAACTTTAGCTGCAGAGAGCTCACAGAATGTTGCTGCTACGAAGTGAAGCTGCCAGAAGAATGAAAATATTTTCTTGCCATAACAACCTCACCAGCATGATTTCTGCAGAGGCCATGATTTGACTGGTTTTTTAAGCAAGCCTGAGTGGTCTGTGGGTGTGCAGGTATGTGTTGAGTTGTACATGGAAGTATGGACATACACACACAGGCCCTAGGATTTTTGTTTGTGGTTCATTCCATGTGGCACTAACACTGATTATTTCTAACAAAGCTAAAAAGATGGGAGGAAAAAGTCAAATAGGCTGCTCTGGACATTGCTGGTGAAATCCTCAGCAAACTACAGGTACCACTGAGAAGATGGAAATGCTCATCACCCATAACACACTAGTGCCTGTCCCACCAACCATCACTGCAGCTCCAGCAGATGATATCAAAACAGAAAGGACCTGAATGTCCTTCTGTGGGAAAAAGAGATGGCCTGAGTGCTGCACAACCCTCCACTCTGCCACAGACAGCCATGTGACCACCAGGAGGTCTGGGAAGATCTCCAGATCATAGAACGGTTTGGGTTGGAAGGGACCTTAAATTAGATCATCAAGTTCCAACCCCCATGCTGTGGGGAGGGACACCTCCCACTAGACCAGGCTGCTCCAAGACCCATCCAAGCTGGTCTGGAACACCTCCAGGGATGGAGCATCCACAGCTTCCCTGGGCAGCCTGGGCCAGGGTCTCACTCACTATGAAGTGAAGAACATCTTCCTAATTCCCAACCTTCATCTACCCTTTTCAGATCATCTGCTCTGCTCAACCTCACATACCATGAAGCAGAAAACATTTCAAAACCCTGACACAAACTGAAAACCTAGTCAGAAGCCAAGGTGTCCAAACCATGCAACATATACTGGCCCCCAGTACACACCCAGCCACAGATCAGTACAATTCAACAGCAGTGGGTAACATTTATCTCATACATTCCTTTTAATAAGGAGGTGTGAAGGGAGGAAAACATAGCAGATAAAATGCAGATGGTCTATACTTATTCTTGAACTTAACAGATTTTGGTTCGTCTTTATACAAACTTTGACTTTGTACATGATTAGACTTGTTTAATTGCTAATTCTGTTTTAAATCTCAGTTAATTTCTCATTACCCTTCCATTTCTACTTCTTGTCCTCTGGGGAAAAGAGCACACTTATCATTGGGACATTCTCACATCTTCCAAAGAACTGGGGTAGGTGTTAATCTTATGTTTATGTTTGATGTGGGTGTGATGACTACGACTACAGCTCTGGGTTTATTAATATGCACGGCTATCACCTCATTAGTTGCAAGGTTTGTTTTGAAGTTAAGCTGTAATATTTTGCTGAAATGTCTGATCTGGAATAAAAGACTTGCTCATTGTTTGTTTCCTTTGCTTTAATCCAAGCTCCAGTCACAAACTGTCAGCTGCTGCACTGCCTTCCCTACACAGCTCCACCACGCTGATTGCTTCTCCACCCTCCTTAGGTGGAAATTCTTGACTTCTTGGCCTATGTGAGCTTCCTGCAGGGTCTGCTTTGCACACAACAGCAAGGGAGTCAGGGTTAAACCTTCTTTCCTTTACCTCTGATGCATTAAAAAACCAGCAGACAGCTGAAGGAGATAACTTTGAGAAATTGGCATCTTCCTTGCATCCAATTACTCTGCACCCATTTTTAAGATCAGGAAGCACACGTGCATCTTCAGTGCCTTAAAAATGGGTACAGAGCAATACTGAAAACCAACCCCTTGAGGAATCTCTCCTGAGCCCTGGAGTGCTAGTTATCAAACCCTGGAGTGCTAGTTACTGAGTTACCTCCTCCATGGCATCCTGCAGGGCTGTTCTCACCTTGGTCAATCTAGCAACAGACCAAGGCCAGAAAAAACTGAATTGTGATGAAAAATCAGTTTCTGTGCTTTTCTTTAGACCACAGCAAGGACCATACATAATTCATCAAAAACTCAGAGCTGCTCTTCAATCAAGGCAACAAAAGCTGTGCAGAAAGGGAGGTTTTGTTTTACAGGCAAAGCAAAATTCATACCCAGGTTCTAAATTTACAGCAGCAGAAGAATAAACCTTACAGTTATAACATTTATGCCTGACCACAATGCTCTCTCTAAATCACAATCAGTAGGTGGCTGGAACCTATAATGGAAAAATAGTTTTTAAAAAATCTGCCTTTTTTTCTTTTTAGGTGTTAAAAGAGCACTGCAAAGCCTGTGTGGCCTACTCAGAGCAATACCCAACCATGGATGTCCCAGCTACTTTTCTTTCACATTTATCCTGACATTTCCTGTGGCACCTCTGGGATGTTCATCCTCTTGCTGTGAGCTGCTAAACCTCTGCACCTGTCAGTGTCCAGGCTAGTAGTTGAAATGTTCCAACCATCATCAGAACTGGAGCCTCCTTGGTAAACTGTGTCTGCACCAACTTGGTGATGGCTGCTGGGTTATTTCTGTTCTTTTAATCCAGAGATAGCCAAGGGTCAAACACACCATCAGCTTCAGCATTTCACTCACCTTCTAATCAGGGTAACAAAGCCAGGTCTTTACTTCATCTCTACTCACCCTTCTGGCCATAGACAGCCCTCTTTCTCCCACCCAGGAGTGAGCCTGGGCTCCCACATCGACACAAAGTCCCAGCAGGGAGATGCTGGGAGACCAAGGAGAAGTTGAGTCCCATGTCCTGTTTTGCAGCTGCTCACTGCACTACACAAAGGCAGGATCAACCTCCTCCACCACAAACTCACTCTCCTCAAGCAACTGAGGGCAGGCTGAGCCCACACTCCGAGGAGGGGCAGTACCACACTGCTAATTAGTGTTTCCTATTAGCATGTTCTCCTCACTCAGAGCACAGACCTCTGGGTGAGTCTCCTTGCACGGATCACACCAGGACACTGGGCACCTCACATCACTCATCACCTCCCAGAGCCTCACACCTACACCTCAGCCACTCCAAAACTAAGCACCCCAGAAGAAATGCTCTTACCTATTTACTTTCCAACTTAACATTTCCTACGTGTGCCTCTCTCACTTTACACTTCTCTTTCAATCACAAATGAAGTCGGTTACTGCACCCTCCAACTGTGCACACGGGCTGAGGGAGCAGATGGGTTGGATTAAACAGTATTGTTAGCAACATTAGGAACCAGAGCAGTTACTTTCAGACACTTTAGAAACATTATAAATGTAATGAGTTTCTCTTTTTTTTCTTTTTTTTTGGGGGTGGTGGTGTAGGGGGAAGGGCTTCTTTGTTCTTTAAATAGCATTTCCCAGTGCTTCCAGAATTGACATTGTTTTTCAAAGTTTTAGTACATCTCAGTTAACTTATCACAGCAGATCAATTTTTTCACAAAATGGCACATTAGAAAGCAAGAAATAAATGAGAAGTTTCTTTAAAAAAAAAATAACTATTAGCTTCAGGAAAGAGAATAAACAGCAAAACCCAAAAATGGCTTATGTCCAAACAGGTTGAAAGCTTCTTTAATTGTTCCTGAGCACATCAGAGGACAGTGGGCCACAATTTTAGAGAGCTGAGAGTCCAGCAACGCTTGTGGCTGTCATGTGAGAGTTCTGAAGAACATACAAAAATTCATTATCTATCTTCTGTTATCAATACTAGTCAAATATCTGATTTTCCTCACTGATTTTTCCACCGGGCGCCTGTTTGTAACCCTAAGCACCTAAATCTCTGTAAAATTAATTTCTCTTTTTCTTTGTGGAGGAGGAGGGAGGGCAATAAAACAGAGCAGCAGTAAAAATATTTTATCAGAAAATGAGCAAGGCTAACGAGTAAGATTCATTCTGCATTGCTCCACTGGAATCAAAGCAGGTGTTAGTCTGGTCCATTGTCTCTGGAGAAGTGTTGTTAGAATAAAATAATGTGGTATTCCATTGGAAAAGAGAAGACATCTGCTACTCACCTCTGTGCAAAATCTTTAGACTCCATAAATAGGTAAGGCCTTTCACAACCTGAATTTAGAAGAAAAAAGCAACAACACATGTTAAAGATTCCTAGTAAGAAACTCTCCACATCTCAGCTGGTGCTAAGCTGTTCAAGACACGAGTTCTGATGAAGAATGGAGGCAGGAGAAGGGGAGATGAAGCATCACTTCCCAAGGGACCCAGATGAACCCTGCTGCAAACTGGACTACACAGCAAGAGGTTCCTCAGGAACACACAAATCAGCTTCCTCCCAGGATCTGCAAGCTGAACTTAGTTGAGCTTATGTGGATTCCCTTCAGGCATTTCAATGTCTTTTTAATTCATCTCTTTGCTGGGAAGGTAAAAATCATGAAAGGCAAAGTGTCTCATGTTTTGTCTTGCAACAAAAGCAAGCCAGTGAAATGAAAGGCAAGGAAACAGGACATGCATTCCTAGTGTGAATGCAGGTGTACTTCCCAAAACAACCACCAGGACACTTCCACACACAGAATACACACACACAGCTCCTTCAGAACCAACAAAAACCATCACTGGATCCAACTGCCACTCTCCTTATTTTCCATGAACAATATGACTGGGGGGGGTTGGTTGACAGCTGGCTGAAGATGACCCAGTGTGGGCCCAGGTGGCCAAGAAGGCCAACAGCATCCTGCCTGGATCAGCAGGAGCAGGGCAGGGATTGTCCCCCTGGACTTGGCACTGGGGAGGCCACCCATCAAATCATGGGTTCAGTTTTGGGCCCCTGAATGCAAGAAGGACCTTGAGGGGCTGAAGTGTGGCTAGAGAAGGGCAATGAAGCTGGGGAAGGGTCAAGAGCACAGGTCTTGTGAGAAGGGGTTGAGGAACCTGGGGGTACTGAGCCTGATGCAAAGGAGGCTCAGGGGAGACCTTCTGGCTCTCCACAGCTCCAGCAGGAGACTGGAGCCAGGTGGGGGTCGGGCTCTGCTCCCAAGGAACATGCAATAACACAAGAGGAAACAGCCTCAAATTGTGCCAGGAAAGGCTGAGGTTGGACATTGGGCCAGTTTCCTCCCCTTAAGGGTTGTCAAGAAATGGTTCAGGCTGCCCAGGGCAGTGGTGGAGTCCCCACCCCTGGAGGGGTTTCCAAGCCGTGGAGATGTGGTGTGAGGGACACGGGGCAGTGGGGACCTGGCACTGCTGGGGGAAGGGTTGGACTCAATGATCTTAAAGGTCTCTTCCAACCAAAACTATTAAAAAAGCTGTGCAGTCAACACCCTAAGAGGACAGCAGGAGGTTACAGGTTACCCTCTCCACAGGTTTGGTTTCTATAAGGTAATGAAACCCCAATATTTCTTGCATTTTTAACACTGTAATTCTCCTCTGGAGTTACTCATTTCACAGGCCCAGAGAACTAACAAGATTCCACAAACACACTTCACTACTGCTTATTTCTTACCCAAACCATGCCTGCTGTCGTAATAGAGCAAATCTTTATAAAGTTTCCATCTCTGAGATGACATTTCATTCATTTTCCTGAAAGACTCTCTTTGTGCATCCCCAGAACAATAAAGCATTTCTGACATTGGTAACGTTGGACGAGTTTTCCAGACAAAACAATTCCACTCTTCTCATTGTCCAAGCAGACTGGAATGAAATTACCCCGTTACACTGATCAAGCAGAAGTGCTAAAAATATGACACAGTGTGAAAGGAGACAGCATAATAATTTTCAGCCTTCCTATTGGATTAGAAATTCTTTTGAAAATTTATTCTGCAACCAGAAATGATGTCAGTGGAATCTGGATCTTTTTTGTAAAGCAAATAAGGATTCCAGATTCCAAACAAACTGCTGCAGGTGGCAACTCCCCAGGTTTAAACTCACACTCCAACTATCTCATGGCCTCAGATGGTAATAAGAGGCCTTAGTCAAACTCTGCATGCCCAGCAGCATGGCCTTGCTCATGTTAGCCTTCCAAAAAGCAAAATGGGAACTCTATTTATGCAGCATTTTGACATAAGAAGAAGAAGAGGGGGAAAAAAAGCGTTGATACAAAAATAAAGGGTGTGCAACATTTTGGGCTTCCTCCAATGGTGAAAGTGGTTTTGAGACTAGTAAGTTTCTTTGATTATTAAACATATGTTTAGATAATTTAAAATCTTTAAAAGCATTATAAAATTACTTATGTTAAAGCATGTATTCATAGGAAAAAAGGAAACACTCCCTATGGGAAGAAAATCAGCTGCTGTGAGGAGTTGTTGCACAGTAAAGATGTTTAACATGTACTGAATGAGGTGTTATAAGAGACACAGTATTAAATAAATGCTCACATCAGTGTACAAACGAATGAAAAGAGTTTTTCCATTTATCCTGGGCTGCAAATATGAGCACAGGAGCCCCCCAAATGGACTAACCTGGTGTAAAGCACCGTTACTCACGTACCTCACATTTGCCTATTTGGGAAGGACTCTTAAGTATTAAATATTATTCTAAAATGGTGCTGGAAGAGAGTATCTTTTGATTGAACATCTGGCAGGAATTATTGGTATTCAGTAAAGTAGGTTTTACAACAATGGCTTGACAAAGCCTTGACACAAAAAGTACTTCTACCCGCTGTCAATCACTCACTCTCTTGACAGTTCAAGTGCACATCCTTTCAGGGAGAACTTCAATCAACATTAGCACTCAAAATACAGTGCACAATGTCACAGCTTCAGAAATTGAAGTGAAAATAAATGTGTGAAGTGGCAAGCAAAGGTAGAACAGATTTTACATCAGCAGACCCAAGTAAGTACCCATCAGTGTGAAAACAGGAGCGACCACAGCATCACTTTGGGGTTCCCAAGATGTACTTTTCCTTTGGAAAAAACACACCAGCCCTTTGCACAGATAAAGAACCCAAGGAGGAGAGATTTCCTCTTCTTGTTGACACTGCCTCACACAGGCAGCCAGGATGAATTTTATGATGAAGTCAGAGATTCCTCCAGTTTCTTGGGGACCCAAGACTGAGCAGGCTCAATCTCTCTCTTACCATTTTATCCTGCCCCTGAAAAAACTGCTTCTCCCTGGGAAACACCTTCCTCCTTTAAGCATTTCAGCTGCCATGCTTTATCTGCAGCAGCCTGTCTTTCAGCCTCAAACCTCCCTGTCACCCTTTACTCCTCAAAAAAACAGCCAAGAAAGGAGAGTGTCTCTCTCAGCAATACAATCCTGCTATTTCAGCTTGAAAGCCAAGTGTTCATCACAATTATGGTGATCATTATACACTGAGTAATGGCTAACAAGAATGGAGAAGAACACTGCAGTGTTTTGGGCTGCCCCACTCAAGAGGGACAAGGAACTACAGGAAATGGCCTTAAGGACAATGCAGTGCTTAACTGAGCAAGTGGAGTGCAGGAGAAATGTGCTCTATTTGCTGTGTTGTGTTGAATAGAAACAGACCTTAGAATTATACAGAATCACAGAACAGTTTAGGTTGGAAATGATTTTTAACATCATCAGGTCCAACTGTTCCCCAGCACTGCCAGGTCCCCACTGCCCCGTGTCCCTCACACCACATCTCCACGGCTTGGAAACCCCTCCAGGGGTGGGGACTCCACCACTGCCCTGGGCAGCCTGGCACAGCCCTGGGCAACCCTCCAGGGGAACAAATTGTTCCTCAGGGCCAACCTCAACCTACCTGGACAGAATCTTGTTCTAGACCAGCTGGAATCTCCTGTGCCTTTTGTGCTCCTTGCTGTGAGCTGGACAAGTGTTTCTAAGGGTTGTCAGTCCATTGCTTTTCATAAGGATTAAATACATGTAACATCAAAGCAAGTATGAAAAACATCAATTTGGAGCAAGAGGAATGCTGGGATGCCGCTAGATGTCTATATGTGCCTGCATCATTTTCCTCTGGAAATGATTTCACTTAAAAACATCTACAAATACACCAAAAGGGTGTTCTAATTAACAGATGTGCAGGTCACACATATTATTAAGCAGCTTCAATAGACTAGTGCATTGTACGTGTCTCAGGAGAATAAAAGATAAATGACTCTATGTGTGTGGTGCAAGGAAGGTAGAAAGAAAACACACAAACTGAGGAAAAAAAAAAAAGAGGCTATGGAAGCTCCACATTTTATCCATAAAATTCACACATACAAGCTCTAGCTTTTGTTCTGACATTCTCCTTCTTGTCAGTACATGACCAGGAATCCTACAAGCTTTGGGTAATCTTCCCAAGATGTTCAGGGGGGGGATTATTTGGTCTGTGTAGAGTACTTGGCAAAAAAGGTGCCCCCAACCCATAAACTGGGCTGCTGGGCTGTGCTGAAACAGACCCCACCATGCAGGGTAGTCATTTGTGAAGACTTAATGGAGCCAT